GCAGTGAGATAATTGTGAAAAATATGGAGATTGTGTAAATATGATAGGGATATATCTTAATCTAAGTTAATCATCTAATCACAATTAAGAGCCCAACATTTCCTTAACTGACAATGCTAGTATATCTGTAATATTTTTGCCTTCAAATAGCAATTTTATAAATAAATCTAATTGAGTTGTCAAAATGTTATATAAATGGTTTTGAATTGTAGGTTTGTCGGCACTTTTTTCTTTTTTGGTGTTGGTTGATTTATGGCTCAAGTACATGTAGACGAGACTATTTTTGATGTTTTACATATTGACGGCCAAAAGTTTGGAATTCCATAACATTACCTATGATGATCCTCAATTCTCCCAAAATAATTGAAACCGTAGAAATCCCTCTACTAATCAGTGCTTGATTTTGGTGCTACCAAAAATAATTGACACCATATAAGAAAACGTCCATGCAATTTTGTGGGTGAAATATTTAGTGCAAACATTAAAAAAATCAAAAATTGATACTATTATATAAAAAGATAATATTTTTTTAGAATACTTGTATAAACAAATTAATGATCAATAATACTTGTTCAATTAATTTTCTAAAACTTTAGCGCAATTGATTTTTTTTACTATATTTTCATGTTTATTGTAGTTAAACCACAACTATACCTTACATTTAAGAAACAATATATATACAAGTTTACAACATTGATATTGAGTAAAGATCACCTTCACTAATTATAAATCAATATAAAAAAAGTGTGAATATAATACTAAACAATCAGCTAAAAGATATCCTAGTAAAAATTACAAAGAATAAACACAAAACGATGTTGGAAAAAACAATAGTAAAAAATACAAATAATAAGCACAAAACTATGTTGGAAAAAACAAAAGGACAGAGTCATGTTATAAAATAGAAAACATAAACAATTTATCAACTAGAAAATATATTGAATAAATTATCAATTAAAATCGTAATTCAATTTACGAAATAAATCGACAATGAACTATTCTTCAACCAAAATAAACAAGCAATAAATGGTGTGAGAAATCACACTTCCCAACATTATGTTTATCACTACCTTTTTTGTTCCATTCATTAACTAATCAATCAGATTTATAAAAAAGTCAAAACACTGTAATTGTGGAATTAAATATTTTATAGATCGTGGCATTAGAGTTGCAACGGAATATAACTTTTTTCTACCGTTAATATGTACATATAAGAAAGTTTGGTCGTGTAGGGGGTAATTTGTTCTTGACTTATACTTCAACTTGTACTAGTACGTACCCCGTGCGATGCACGGGATGCACGGGAAAGAGATATTAAATGAATTATTTTCGCAGGCTCTGTCCGTTTAAGTATGAGAAGGGTTATTATCTATTTTTCACCTATTTTAATCACCGTTAAGTCTCGTTTAAATCTGAAAAGAGTTATCATCTATTTTCCACCTCTTTTAATCACCGTTAAGTCTAAAAAAATAGGGTTGTAATCTATTCTTCACATCTTTTAATCAACGTTGTTTTATTAGTCCGAACATTAAACGTGAGCATGTTAGGGCTAACTTGCAAAATAATTAATATATTATCTCACTAACACATTTATACTAATACAAATTTAATTTTATTATATATATTTATTTCTTGATATAAGAGAAAATAACAATTTTACTTATTTTTATTCACTATATAATAGTTAATTATTAAACTCAGTTGTCATATAATGTCATTATTATTTATAAAGTTATACAAGTTGCACGTCTTCTTGTTCTTTTTATTTTATGTAATGAAATATATTTAATGCACGTTGGTATTATTTATATAAGTAATCAATTTAAAATATGTAAATAAATTTAAAATTAAATAGTATATAAATAATGTACAAAATATACACACTTTTTTTGGAATTTAATTTTGTATACTAATTAAACAACTTTGATTTAAGAAAAACCATGAACTCAATCTCTTCTAATATCAATATTTTTCTAATTTGCATTGTAATGATTATTCTTATTATATATGTAGATTAGAATGTTTGCGACGCCAACCAAACTAAATATTGCAACAACTAAGTAACAATTATGAAAAAACCCATAACACAACAACTATAAATTAAATTTGGTAATAGAAAAATTACATACATATATATAAAAATATGAGGATTCTATATTTCTATTAACTGATGTATACACCACGTGTATATTTTGTTAAGGTATATTGGAATGTTCAATTTCATAGCATGATAACAATCAGTCTTAAAAAATCAAAAATTTTATTGAAATGCCATATTTTTCTGTTAAAAAAAAAAAGTTCCCATAAAAAATAATTATATCATAGCAAATTCATTGTGTAATTGGACAAATTTCTATAATGAAGCCCCCGATTTTTTGTACAAAAATAAAGCAACAACTTCCACATTTTAAGGAAATCAATTAATGTTGGTCCGTTTTTGCTAAGAAAATAATAAATAAATAAATTGTAATTAATGGAAAGTAATTAATGATGAGAGAATTTGACCACATTTGTTTCTAAAAATCGTAACAGAAAAACAAATATTAAATAAAACTGTATAATACGGAAATAGTAATGGCAATAAATGTTTTTGACTTTTCTAATTACTAAATTTGGTAAATAGGACTCTCTTTAATATAAGTATAGATTATATTGGCGAGAAGCATATGTGGTAACGGAAAAAAATGTCAAATGTTTGATATGAAGTAGTATATTTTGCCTTATATATTGAATATAATCATGAAAATGTTTCTTAAAGTTGCTTTATGCCATCTCTTAAGAAGTAAATAATTGTAATAAATCATTACTCATTAGTTCCTCGAGTAGGTGAACATGAATTCTGAATTGGTCATGTTTAATTATTATATATAACGAAAAGTTCATTAAATTGATAAAATTGGTCCTCAGCAAAAGGGTTTCGAATAGTGTAACAATCCAAAGCACAAGCAACTTGAACAGCAATATCTTAAATCACAAGGGTTTCAAATAGCTTAACAATCCTAAGCACAAACAAATTGAACAGCAATATCTCAAATCACAACCAAAATTTTCTAGTTGCATCCATTGGCAATAGAAATTACAATTACAATACAAGGCCTTACAGCAACACCAAAAATGACCTAAAGAGAGCTAGTATAGACGAGTAACACAGCATTAATGCAATCGTTATTTTCAGGATTGTAAAATGACCTAAAGAGAGCTAGTAATGGACGAGTAACACAGCATTAATGCAACCATCATTTTCAGGATTGTTCGTGACTTGTGTGTATTTCCCTGCATTATGCAAACCGCCAAACAAGAAACAAATTCAGGCAAAGATTCTTTTCGGCTTTCATTACTTCACACTATTTTACGAAATTCTAAAAGGGTAAATGTACCCCATACAAAATAAAACGAACTTAAAGCTATTCATTTCTCAGCTCACAAAAGAGAAAAAGACAGTAACAAGATTACACAACAAAAATTTACAAAAACTCTGCTTGCACGTGATTATTCAACCAGTAACAGTCATTTCGTGTACCCATTCGCAAAAGTTTTTAGGGCCACTGAAGTGAGCCCAAACCAACGTTGGTTTCTTGCAGAAAAGGGGAGACCACATCCATCAAAGCCCATCTCTCTTGCGGGCTAATTCCCGGGCCATCTCTCTCATCTCCTCGGGGGATGGAGGCCGAGGGGCTTCAGGTGGGTAAACCACATATTGATGCTTCACAAAAACATGAGAATCTTGCTTTAGAAGGCACAACCATATATGGGTTTTTTTACCAACTAAATGAAAGTACCAAGTCAAAAACATCACCACCAAGCTCAATAGTGGTGCTTGATAAAAGTAACAAACATCAACATATTCACAAGTGCAAGTAGATACCAAGTTTAACTAAGATATAAGATATGTTTGCGTTTCTACACGCACAAATATATATATATATATATATATATATATATATGTGGGTGTATATATATATATATGTTGGAGTCAGATAGATGAATACAATAAATAATGCAAAATTAAGTGATCAATAATCAACCACATTGTGTGTGTGTGAATGGCTAAGTTCATTTTATTTTGTATTCATCCAATTCCACATAGTGTACTGGCCATATCTAGGGCATCAATCTCTGCGTATGTAAATGACATTACTTTGCACCAAAAGATTGCCCTACTCACAAAATTCAGTCGATTGTTTAATAATTGCACACACTTCAATTTTCTTTTAAAACTCCTAAAACAGCTTCCCCTTATTTCACTTCTTCTGGTGCCTCACTGATGCAACTGTTATTGTTTATTCTTGTTTGTTCCTCTTGAGCATGAGCTTTCCTTTATTTAAAGTTTCCCTAAAGACACCCATTGTTTGAGATTTTCTTTCCTTATATTTATTTTTGGGAATAGAGAGCGTGGTAATATCACATGTACTAAAAGGCTCCATTATAAGTACAACCTTATCATGTATTCCTCATCCTCCAATATTACATTAATAAAATTTCCTTTTATAATGTCATTTTTTGGGTAAAAACATAAATTACTAAACGAAACTACTTTTCTCATATGTTTTTTTAATGCAATATTCACTTTCAAGATATTACTTTCAACATTCTTCACCTTTCACTTGAACCACAACACACAAATGAGAAACAAAAAGAGTGTTTAATCACATAATATAAGAAACATCCTCAAACACAAATTCTTGTGTTATGCAGCCCAATGGTTAAGTGGCCCAGTCAACTTTTTAAAAAAAAATGCATACTTAATGTTATAATTTTATGTTGTTTTTTTAGAATATAACATTTTAGTTTGAAAGTATGCATATTTATTAAAATCTATGATTTTCGATCACAAACACCTAACAGTAACAACAGCTGATCCTTAGAAAACGCTTTGCAAAAATGAACTATCCTCAACCCCCAAAGTTTGCTCACAGACTTACTAATTATGCATTCACAAAACTGGTTGACCTAAAAATACTTCCTTCCAGATCAAATACAACAAACATCTCAATTTGTCCCCAACACTCAGCAAAATAAAACTAGCTAATGTAAACTAAAATTTAACATCTGTCGATAGCAAAATGAGAGGCATTACAGTATGAATTCTTACATTTCCCATGACTTTCTGGAGATTTTTGTTGTTGCTGGCGAAGAAGTACATCAGCCCAATCGGCACACTGACGTATACTGCGAATTTCGCGATTTCTAGCATTCCTTTCGATGTTCCCAAAGACGACATTTTTCACACTCCTATTTTTTCACGAATTAATTCGAGATCTCTGGAGGACTGTAAAAACCTCTGATGGAAATGGAAGGATATGAATATCGTGGGAGGTTTTTCGTCATCATCTATATGGGCCAATAGTGGATCTCCAGAAGGGCCACGCAGCGTTAAACGCCATTTTTGCTTCTGAGCTTTTTACTCTCTCACTAGCGTGCTTTCTACGTGTGCGTGTGAGATGGAAAACTGGAAATGGTCAGGCTTTTATTTGGGTACTTGTTGTAGGGCCGCATAGTGGCCTTTCATCCTCTTTGTGCTATTAGAGGGACAAACACTGCTTGTAGTTGCCATTGGGCCGAAATTTGGGCTATTGTTATAGAGATTGCTTGCTTCATTGGCCCTTCCTGGGCCGAATATTTGGACTGTTGTTAGAGAGATTCCTTTGTTGGAAAAATCCATAACTATCATCGACTAAAAATTTATTCCACAAAAGTGCTGTTTCCTCTACAATTCCAAAACTAATCCGATAGATACCAAACATGGCGCCACAAAAAATAACCGATAACTATTATGATTCTTCAATGACTAAAAATGGGAAAAGAAGAAGATAAGAAAATCGTAAAAATATGGAAGAAAGAGAAAGAATAAGGATATGAACCGATACATACAAGCGGTTATTTAAGAATATACAAAAAATAAAACAGAAAAATAAAATAAGTGAAAACCGCCCCGGAACAAACAAAACAGATATTGATAAGGCGTAAAATATAAAAACGACACAAGCGTTTTTGGCTTAATTGAGGAGCTATTTCATTAATGTAAATTATATTTTAAAAAGTACTTAATTCTTGCTTTTGTGGGTCCTTGGTTGGGTAATTTTCTCTTTATACATCAATTTGTATTTTCTCAGCGAGAGCGAGAAAATATTTAATAGAAAAAATAAATAAATTGCATCCCTTGAACGAACTTGAAATAGAAAAACATTTAATAGAAAGTAGTATATTTTGCAATAGAATCATGAAAATATTTAATAAAGTTGCTTGATGCCATCTCTTATGAAGTAAAAAAATTTAATAAACCATTAATTCATCAACCATGTGAATATGAATTCTGTATTGGTCATGTTTAATTATGTAAAGTAATATATATTAACGAAAAGTTCATTATATTGATAAAATCAGTCCTCAAGCAAAAGGGTTTCGAATAGTGTAACAATTCTAAGCACAAACAACTTGAACAGCAATATCTCAAATCACCACCAAAATTTTCTAATTGCTTCCATTGGAAATAGAACTACATGGCCTTACAGCAACACCAAAGTGACCTAAATAGAGCTAGTAATAGAGCTAGTTAGCAGTTCAACAGCGCCTATCGGGCACAGTCTCCACAATTTGACTTAGACGAGCAACACAGCATTAATGCAACCATCATTTTCAGGATTATTAGTAACTTGTGCGTATTTCCCTGCATTATGCAAACCGTCAAACAAAAACAAAATTCAAAAAAAGAAAAATCTTTTCGGCTTTCATTACTTCACACACTAATTTACGAAATCTAAAAGGATAAACGTACCCCATACAACTTTCCCAGCAGGGGTGACCAGACCAAGTTCACTAACATTCACCTGAAGCACACAAGACATATTAAAATTCAATAAATAATAAACAAAAGTGTGGTGAGTGGTGACTGAAAGTCGGAGGAAGTTCACCTCAATTATGGTTCCTTTGGTCATAACACCCAGAGATGTATACATAGGGCCATTAGGATTTTTCTTCACGCCAATGATCTCCAAATTGAAAGTACATTTAAGTTCAGGGTGAGTCACGTGAGCTTTTGTGAAACGTAAACCTGTCGGGCGAATAAAACGCTCGTACTTTGGAGGTTTCCTAGTGAAACTAGGTCCAACGAAGGTGGCCTTGGTAATCATTCTCTTCCACTGTTTAGCTGTAAATAGCAAATAAATACGGAAAAAAAAGACTATCAGGTCTTGTTCTTAGTAGTAGGACACATAAAGTAATGTAACAATACTCTGTTAAAAAAAAAATACGTACTCTTTCTTTTGCCAGATCTGATCACTCTAAACATCTCTTCTTCAGCAACAGGTCTGACCTATAAAGTCGACAAGCAATTATAATACTACTGAATGTAGCAAATGCAGCGAAATTATATATATGATATGAAACACAAAAGACGACACTGATCAAATACCCGCGTGTTCATTGGAAGCTACTAAATAACCACCAAGCATATGATTAAAGAATAATAAAGTGCCCTCCCCAAATTCTTTATTTTTCATTTATCCATAGTCAGTACTTAAAAATCCCCTCTAATTTATAGGCCTGGAAAGGTTGGAATCAGTTAAATAAAAGTCACAAGAATAAATACACTTCATTTCAAATAAGTGATCATACATAATGTAAATAGGAAGAGAAGCATCAACAAGGCAATATAAACTTTTGATTAAGTGGCCCCTATCTTCATATTCCTCCAGGGCATACCTTTGGTAGCGGAACTTCCCATTTGCCTGCCTTTTCTTTCCTCTTCTGCTTTATTGTGTTGCTAAGAACCTGCATCAAAAACAAAGCAATTTCAATAACTGTTCAAAACTGATGCCATTTTCAGGCCTCATACTTTCTTCAATGTAAAGAAAGGAGAGATGAGCGGATATAGAAACACAAATCGACCTTGGCTCTGGTTGTCTCGTCACGATCAAGAAGATATGCAGGAAGAGCACCTTCGTGAACATCATCATCAACCTTTCGCCTGGTCGAGGACTCCTCGTGCATAGCCAATCTATAGGCATAAAACGAAAAATGAAAACACGGATTTAACTATTGTGAGTTCATAATACAATCAATTTATACAAGGATTTGATGAAGTTGAAAGTAAATGAATCAAATAAAACTTTATTTACAATCGTGTAACTTGCTTAACAGCCAAAACATGATGGAGCAGCAATTTGAGTGATTATTAAGAATACATTAGCATGTGTTCCTTGACACATCAAAATTAACTCTCATGAAAGAAAAGTTCAATTCCACACAGAGTCCTCGTAAAACGAAACACAATACTTAAGCATGAAAGGCGGACCACATTACAGCAAAATGCACCAAAAAGCAAAAGTCGAGATAATTGCATGACTATAACTACAGAATCCATTAGAATCATTAGCAATTTATATTCCTCAACAACTCTTGAAGAAGAGGACTACTAGCATCCCGGTTTACACCATTCTTGGAGATAAATACTGAAAAAATCACTTGAAACAGCATACAACGCCTCTAGATGACACAAGACAGTAATGCACAAAATGATTCCAGATCAAAACAAATATGGTCTTGACTATGTAAAAAGAAACTCACGTTTTCTTCATCAGGGCCTTCTCAGAATAACGTTTCTTGGCCAACATCTTACCCTTGATACCCAGAGTCTGCTCATTCACATAAAACAACTATCAATTTTACAAACTCTATCATTAACACATAGATATACAATAAAACGAAATTAAGACAAAAAAACTAACATTCTGGGCTTGTTTGGATCTTTTGTGGACTTCACGAGCCTCCTTCTTGCGCTTGCGCTCGTGGTAGTCAAAGCGGCGTCCATGCCGCTTTATGGAAAGGTCTATGTGATCACCTTGCGGCTGCAAAATGTTAATTGCATCAGAAAATTAAGCAAAAAAAGATGAATAATAGAGTAAAAACACTCCTCATATACGAAGGGCAATCAATCAGAAACGCACCATGGTTGATTAGCAGCAGATTGTGACGATTGGCTCAAAACCTAGCAGCTACTGTAATGGAGGGGTTTAGAGAGGAGAAGACGACGATAGGGAAAATCTGGTTATAAATAGGGTTGGGCTTACGGAACCGACCCGGAATTGGGAGTTGGAACCAGCATAATTATATGAATTGGGCTCTTTGGTTAACTGGGCTTGATGAGCCCAACATCACATTATAGAATTATTGAATTAAGAAAATTGTGCTGTTCACATGTAAATTCTTTTTGCACGAATTTTTAACTTCAATTAAAAATACTTTTTTTCGCTGCCTCAATAATTTGAATTATAATAATTTTATTAATGCACCATTTATTAATTTCACTCTTGACCTCATTAATTTTATGAATACAATTTTTCCACAGTCTCTATAAAATAATTATTCATACATTTACTTATTTTAAAATATTGATTAATAAATAATTTAGAAATTTCACATTACATCAATTTTATTCATAAAATCAACATCTTGCATTGCACTTAAAATTTTTCCTGAATTGATTTTTAAACACTCCCTGACTCATTTTAGAGTCTATGCTTTTCTATTTATAAAATGGAAGATTTTTATAATTTTCAAGAGAGAATCTGGAGTGTTTTGTGATTGAGTTACAAATCATTGTAATTACACAAACAATTTGTGAGATTTTGGTGGTTCATCATACATTGGTTCATGAAAGGCCACATTATTAAAGAGCATCATACATAATTGGTTCATCATAATTCATAACGATACTCTATTTCCTATCCTGTATTTCTAGTATTTACCATTTTACCTGCCATAATTCATTACGCAATACCAATTCATAATTCTTGATTTTTCTCTCTTTTTTTTCAAATGTGTTAAATATTTTATTTTCTATTTTTTATTATGTTCTTGTAGCACATCATGGTTTTACGAGGGTACAACTTTTAGCCTAAATTTTAAACATCTAAGGTTGACTTGAATCATATAGCTTTGAAGGTTGTAGTCGAAAGCCTTGTACTTGATTTGGAAGAAAATAATATCTTAGATTTAGGTGATAATTACAGAAATTAGAGTGTGAAGTCTAGACTTACATTTCACTCCTCCATCAATTACCTACTATAACAACTTATTTTTAAAAGAAAAAAATGAATATAACAAATTAAAAATATGCTAGCAATTGGTAAAGGATCAAAATCGCTTTTGACCAATCACATAAGTTTTGTACTCACTTTAATTTAAAATTCAACTTAAATTTAGTTCAACCCAATTCCTCATATTACTTAAATAACATCAATCAATTATCGTCACAAATCACATCAACTTTAATTCATTTTCATTCACTCAAATATTTATAACTAATTATCACTTACTTTACATTACATCAACTTTAATTATTATATTAAAAATATTATTTAAATACAACATCAAAATCTCACTCAACATTCAACTCAATAAATTTTATTTAAAATTAACTTACTTTAACACAAAATCCAATCACGCTCTAAGGGATGATTGATCGGCGATCAAAATTTTGACTCTCTCGGTTTAACTTAATATATAACTCAAACTTAACTCAATATCTCTATCATCAAATATTATCAATATAATTAAATAATACATATCAGTTCCCTCCTATATCATATCAATTTAAATCCACTATTTATTCACTCACATAATTTTAACTACCTACAAATTTCATTATTTCTCTCATACTTTTACATCACATCAACTTGAATCATTCTATTTTAAATGTTAACATTTTTTTTTTCAAAATGTTAACATTTAATAACAGTCTTTGTCATCTCACTCAATCAATTTTATTACTGCGTGTAGCATTTGTCAAACTCTGACAATGTGTGTAGCATTTGAAATTATCACGGAGCAAATGCGAGTACATATATGGGGTTGCAGAGTTAGAAAAGAAGAATGAAGAGAGAAGTGAAATTAAAACATAAGAGAGAACGGTAGATATCGAAATTTTAATATTTTACTGATTAATGTCTTTATTTATTTTTTGGATATAAATCAGTGTTCTAAAAGTCGGTAGTCGCTCGATGAGCGCAGCGGCGCCTAGAAACCAATATTAAATACCTTATTTTTTATTTATTTTAACTACCTACAAAATAAAACTATCTCGACTTATAATAAATTCACACATCTAAGTCTAAATAATAATATTAATATATTTTAAAGAAAAACATGAGAACAAAATAATATAATTAGTATCTAAAAAAAATAAAAAAAATTTGAAAAATTGCCGCCGAGCTCGCCTAGGAGCGCCTAGGTCCGCCTATGCCCGCCTAGGCACTGCCTAACTGCCTGGGTGCCGAGCCACCAAGTCTGCCTAGGCGCCGGCTAGCCGCCTGGCCGATTTTTTCAGCCGATTTATGTAAATCGGAGGCGGTAGGGCACCGCCTAGCGCCTAGGCCTATTTTTAGAACAGTGATAGAAATCCAAGACAAATAGGATATTTAATTAATAAAGTAAAAGAAAAAAAAGATAGTTAAATAACATTCAAGCTAAGGATCAGCGTTTAACCCGCAACCAAGCATTCGAACACCAAAGTACGTTTAATGAAGAAGAAAGCCAAGAAAAAGAAAAAAAGGCGGTAGCACTTCTACAAGAAGTAAAGAGATGACATCCACTCCTCTCAAATCAACGACATTCAAATTACGTTCGTGGAGAAGTTCAAGCAACATAGCATTTGATCCGGGAAAAACTCTCAAACCCTCGAGTCAACGTTATTCAAGTTAAAATCCGTCTTTCAAGAAGATCAAATAAACAAGTCCTCCAATAAGTCTTTTTCAATCAAGTCAAGTCCTAACATTTAATATGGGAACATGTCACTCAACCCCCAAATTAATGTTATAGAAATTCAAAATCAAGCCCAAAGAAGATCCAAGTCCAAATCCATATTTGAAGATTCCAATCCAAATTCAAGAAAGAGAAGAATCATAGGAGAAAAATAGAGATTGTACTCCAATATCGTTTAATCAAAATAAAATCAAATTGTACAAAAGTTTTATATTTTTCATAAAATTTGTTGTTACAAGAACATGAGAAAAAAAAAAGAAGAAAATAAAGCAGAGAAAAAAATAAGAACTTGATAGTTCTATTGAAGCAAAAATATCAATTATCAAAATAGCAGAGCAAAGAGATAATTTTATTAGTCATATAGAAATCGTTTCATTTTTAAGTGATCAAATATCAACTCCGTTTCAGTTCGCCGGAGCTCGTAAGTCTGGTGTGCTACAAATTTCGAGACGATCGCCGTTGTATTCTTGGGGACGATACGCCTGAACCGTTAGCACTACACGGGGCGTATTCATTTTGCGGAAAAAGTTTACTCGCCTCAGTATAATATTCTCGTTTTATTTTCAGTTCTATTGTAATTTTCTATTTTAGTTTATTTGTAAGAGCTGGAAAATACATTTTAGTTCATAAAATTTCCATATATTCAACACCAGAATTTATACCATAACTCGCTGATGGAGACGAGATCGCTTTTGCGTTCTTCGATAAATATGATCGGATGTCGTTGCTTAATTAATTATTTTATTGACTCTCTCCTTATTATTAATAGATTTCCTTATTTATGTTATTTAGAATTAGTAAAATAATTATGTGGTTTTATCTTGTTTAGCAAGTTAGGTTTGTGGGGAGTCTAAGAATATATATTTATGTATTCTCTTCATAGCTTGACGGTGAATGAATTTGAGTTTTATCTGATATTGTGAGTAATTTATAAAAGAGTATCTCGTATATTTCTCGTTCTTATTCACGTTCTACATCACTCGCTTTTTACTGGTTTTCACACCTTGCCAATCAATGTTTTGGTGCCTACCTTCCACACAATTCATTATAAGAGGTAATTGATGGAGGAGTGAAATATAAAGTACTCAAAAGAAAAGTTGAAAGAAAACTTGTTAGATAAGGTGGATGAGTTGGCAAAATCCATCAAATATCTAAATTGGCATGCTTGAAAATCCAAGTGGCACGTTTTACTTGGTAAAAAGAAAAACAAAAAAGCAAAAAAAAATAAAAAAAAAAAAGAAGAAGAAGAAGAAAATTAAAGTGGCAACTCCTTCATTCACGCCTTTGTCTATGCCTATTGCATTTATTATATAATCCTCAAATTGTCACCTTCAAGTCAAAATAAGTTCTATATAAAACCCAAAACAAGTGAGAGCTATTGAGACTAGATTGACATGAATTTTGCATGTAAGGTTGCAAATTGCAATGAGTCCAAATTAAGTTGAACGCGTTTAGTGTTGCAAATTGCAATGAGTCCAAATTAAGTTAGAATGCGTTGAGCGTAACTGATAATCTCACACGTTTTAAAAATTTGTGTAGCAAAAATTATTTTTTGTAATGTGACTCAAATTAAATTAATATATTTGTTATTATCAGTCAGTGCCAGATAGATTGTATCACCTTAATAAATAATATATATATCTTATGCAACATGTAGGTAATAACTAAAAACTGATAATTAATGGCAAGATTGGTATGCGGGAGTGATGTGATAATGAAATGATCATTCCTTTACTCATCTCTAATCCCATAATTGGTATATTTTTTAGAAGGAAATGGTCATTCCAATGGGAATTACAAAACTCATCTGTATGGGATTAGCCATTCCATAGCTAATGGATGGTTTTTCCATTCTCATATATTTAGGAATCGATTTTTCAAAAAATAAAATTAACAAATAATAATAACAAATAAATATATAACATATACTATATTATCATGCATAAATTATATTAAATAAAATTATTTTAAAAAATAAATTTCAAATAAAAAATTATTTTTATTTATTAGTCATATTTTAATTTGATATATTAAATACTTATATAAAAATAAAATTCACTAAAAATGCATTTATAAATAGTTTAGAAAAATCTTATTTTATTTTATATAATCATATATATTATATATTTATTCATAAATTAATTATATTATAAAAGGTACATTTGACCACATATGCTTATATTATGTGATGATATATTTGTATTAGTTAATATGCATATAAAAACATAATTCACTTATTTATTATATAAGACGAGTGTAACAATACAAAGTATGTTTATAAAATATAGTGTATTTTTAAAATATAAAATAATATTAGTTTTATCATAAATAAAAAAATAATATTAATATAAATATTAATTTTTTTTATAAAATAGTGATAAATAATAATATAGGATGATAATGTCATTTCATCCCAGTCTTATTTCTTCTGCATACCAAACGCATCAATGACAAAACTGTTTAATTCTTTTTCCATAATCATTCTATTTGTTCAACTCATTCTATTCCATTATATCAATCAGTCATACTAAGTATAACTAACAAATAACAATAGAAAATAAAAAATGAATTAAAAAAAAAAATATCATAAAAGACAAAACGAGAGAAATCGTGACCTGCGATCGAGGAAGCCAATCGTTTTCGGAGAACTGTCGGCGACCCACAAAAACTACACACAATGGAGGTGCCTCTGTGTGTATTTATCTATAGATACACCCGCCTGTATCTATATGCGCATACATCCATCAATCCATGATTATTCATTAATTTAATCAAATTAAAAAGTCATGATAATTCCTGCAATAATTACCACCGTTTTCTTAATAGAAAAAAAGGTGTTAGTATTATTTAACTTATTTTTATTCTATAAAGTATAAACCTGAAAACAAGGCACCAAAAAGGTGTGTGTGTTAAGTCTCTGCTTACTACAGTCTACTATATACACTGCGCTCAACTCTCTAAATCTATAATTATAAATCTGTGCAAGAGAATCCGAGATCTGCAACAATGGCCGTGGATCCGAGGCAAGTGCTGGCGGGGGTTTTGACGCTGACGATGTTCCTCATGCTCGGGAACATGATCAAGCGCGACCACTTCGATGCTACCCACGTATGCTTCAAAAAGTAGCTTGTAGTTGTCTTCCGATGATGTTTGCTGGATTTGCTGTTTGATTTCTCTGTTTTTTTTTTTCTTTCTTCTGATTTTGTTGGTTGATTTGAGCTTAGATTCAGTAATGTGCAACTGTGTGTGTGTTTGCGTGTTTGCTTTGCTTGTTTACTGGAATTTCTGTTTGATTGACTCTGTTTTTGTTATTCTTTTCTCTATTTTGGTTAGCTGATTTGAGCTTGGATTCAGTAATGTGCAAGTTCGTCATGTGTGCGAGCATGTGTTGCCTTCTGATTTTTTGGAGATTTGTGCTATAGATTTTACTTTATAGTTCTTGTTGTGCGGACTGGATTGTAATTATTGGTTATTGCTTTGAATGCTATGCTTTCTACTTGGCTAAGAATTCGATGACGAGTGTCTGCACTTGTTCTGATCTAAAATTGATGTGTTTATTGTTTGGTGTTTTCCTAAATTTTATTGATGTGGTTGGGCATTAAAATAGAGCAGTTATTACAGCAGGGAGTTATTGTTTCGGAGATTTTATTGTGTCATCTGTCATTTTGAGAAAATGTGGTTGTTTAGCATTCTTACTGACTGACAGTCTAATTTTCTTCTTCTTTTTTTTTTTTTTTTNTCATTTTCCCCTTTTTCCATAGCCGGTTGTTCACGATACAAATAAAGCTTCAAAGCTTGCTAGTGTTGTGAAAGGGGCGGATGAGTCTTGGAAGGAGGATGGCTTGACCTTAAAGCCGTGCTGGCAGAAGCCCGTCTTGGGTGAGTGCAGTTGATTTTCGAGAGTTTGTTTCGCCCTTTTTTGTAGTGTAGGTTTATTCTTGTGTGTGTCTCACTCTTTTTGCTCACAGAGGAAGCAGAGGAATCACAAGGATATGTCACCTTTTCATTGACCAATGGTCCAGAATACCATGTCTCTCAGGTAGTTCGGTTCGTATTATCAAACATTTTTATTTATCAGTTGCCAAAGATTCGCTTATACCCACATATTTTCATTATTTCAACTTTCAAACTTAAAAAATATATATATAATAGAAGAATCGATTGTAAGCTTATATGTGTGTGTGTGTTCTGTGTTAATATTCGATTGATGTGCTCAAATTGATGAGTTTAGCAAGCCACATTTTTGTAGCTATTCCTTAATCTATGCTCATTTTGACATATACTCATGAAGCTAGCGGCGGAGTTGGGTTTTTGTGAATTTTCTTAAGATGTCCTGCATTTTTTCCAGTTGTAACATTTGATCATTGTGTTTATCATCTTATTCAGATTTCTGATGCAGTAGTGGTTGCAAGATATCTACGCGCAACACTTGTAATCCCAGACATCAGAGGAAGCAGTCCCGGTCACAAAAGGTTTGATGTGACTCCTAGCTCTAATAAAGGCTTTCACGAGCAAAAAGATAAAGAAATTAATTAATTTTCCAAAATCAAAAGATGCGTGTGATCTTCTATTTCCTGTTTAAATCTTGCATCAACTCCCTTCTTAGCTGACTTACAGCCGGCGAATGGCGGCTGTAAATTTATGAATATATAGTAGAACTATGTGCCGTCTCATTAAAAAGCTCATGTTTTACGTGGCCCTTGGATATTGCTTAGTTAGCCGATGGTTCATTATAACTCAAGTGCAGTTAACCTATTGCTAATAAAACTGTATGTGTAGTCCAACTACTATAACTCTGTCTGAAACTTTCAGGGACTTTGAGGATGTCTATGATGTTGAGAAATTCATATCAAGCCTAGACGGCGTGGTCAAAGTTGTTAAATCACAGCCTGCTGGATTATCATCTCGTAATCTTGCAGTAGTAAAGGTCCCTAATCGAGTTACTGAAGAGCACATAGCAGACAACATTGAACCGTTTTTCAGGACCAAAGGGAATGTGAGACTCGTCACTTACTTCCCCTCAGTCAACATGAAAAACAATAAAGAAAAGACCAACTCAGATTCACTTGAATGCCTGGCCATGTTTGGGACCTTGGAACCTCAAGCTGAAGTCCGCGAAGTGGTTGACTCGATTATTGACCGCCTGAAAACCGTCAGTAGGAAGTCAAATGGGCAGTTCGTGGCCATTGATCTGAGGATTGACATTTTGGAGAAAAAGGGTTGTCATAGAAGTGATGGCTCGGGATCCAAAAGTTGTTATGGTCCGCAAGAGATAGCATTGTTTTTAAAGAAGATCGGGTTCGAGGAAGATACCACTTTGTATGTGACGCAAACAAAATGGCATAGCAGCCTTGATGCACTAAAGGACTTCTTCCCAAAAACATATACCAAGGTAGAAAAAAAAAAAGTGAACATCTTGCTATTTCACCATCAAAATGGCTCGTGCCATCTTGTTACAGTTTATAAAATATGGATATTCTGGTTTATTTTTAGGTGAAATCAAGTGTTTAAATGTCACTAAAGTTTCTGTTTCTTTTCAATCTAATGCAGGACTCCATAATGCCCATGGAAAAAAAGGACAAGTTTCTAAACTCTGACACCTTGGAGTTTGAGAAGGTAATCGACTACTATATTTGCTCCGAGAGTGATGTTTATGTTCCAGCCATATCAGGCCTGTTTTACGCCAATGTTGTTGGAAGAAGAATAGCTTCCGGAAGGACTCAAATACTTGTTCCGGAAATCATCCCAACTTCTTCTGCGGATCCTAAGGATTTCGTATCGCATTATGTTACGAAAAAGAACCATTTCGCGTATTCGTGCTTTTGCTAGTTCAAGGAAGTTGAATTGGACAGATCTTTGCATATGAAATTGATTGGTATTCTATTTATACACCTTGAAAAGGTTTGTTTGGAAAAATATATTCATTGCATTTGATTTAAGCCGAAGAGATGTCTCTCTGAGTTTTTCTTTTTATCATTTTGTCATTTTTTATGCCTGAAGCGGGTTTTGGTAGGCTTGAAGACTTGCTGTAAGCCTGTAACGTATTAGTTGGGATGTATTTGAATGTTATGTAATTTGTAATTAGTGTCGATTAATATTTCACTGTCCAATGATATATGTCAGATGCCCAACATATTCATGTGAGCTAAATATTGTGTACTTATGATGCATCAGAGGAATTACTCTTGTGGACGCCAACTGATGAGAGCTAAATATGTGTGCACTTATGATGTATCAAAGGAATTTCTCTTGTGGACCACAACTGATTAAATGTTAAATGAAACGAGCCACTAATTGGCTCATTAAGGCATGAGCAAATGAGCCAAGCTTAAACTCTTTTAATTAACAAGTAAAGTCTGACTCGTAATTAGAGATTTATATGTAATTTTCTATATCTATGTTCGTTAAGGACTGAGTTTGACTCATCAATACAATTTTGAGTAAAAGGAGCAGGAGCTCAACTTGGTTCGGCTAACCTACAAATGCCTATGTTGGAGATTATTTTTTCTTTTACTGAAAAATACGGAAGAAATCGAAAAGAAACAAGTGCAAGCCTAATATAATAAGTAATAGATATCTGTAGGAGAAGTGCGTCAGTTGAATGTATTTAGAGACTTGCTATTGCTAAAACATACTGTGTACAGTACATGTAATTAAACTATCTAAAATCATGTGATACAGTTTCCAAAATACTTGAAAATGAAATTTCATGAACCACAATTCACTGGGCGCCAGCACGCTATATCACATTTAAGAAAATCGTAGTTTTCCTNAATTTACCCACAACAGCAAGAGGCCAGCTGCAAGCCAAAAAAAAAAAGCAAAATTTTCAGTAAAATCTAAGTTCCAGAAAATTTTATGATGCTCGTTGCGTATTTTCGAATTATATCATCTGTTACTAGAACTAATAGATCTGGTTTTAATGAACACCCTTGTTGCATTGTCTGTACAGCAAACTGAAACGGAATGTCTTTGATCTTTATACATATTTAGTGCTGATACTAATAATAATGACGCAAGCTCACGAACCTGAAGAGGCCGATAACAAGGCAAATTATCCACAATTTCAAGTCCAACCTCACGGTGGAGGTGAACTTCCCGAGGAAATTGACGATGATTATCTGGTGAAAGAGGAGGATGCATGTTAACATGAAGAAAGCTACACTCTACAGTTTTCCAAACAGTGAAATGCATTAAAATACGCAATGTCATCACCTGAAGTATGAATGTAGTCCCAACTATTCCGGTGAAGAGGGGGTTCTTCGTCACCCCTGTGAAAACGTTCAGTTCCTCCGGCTTTCGAGCGTTCAACTCGTTAAAGATCTGGAAATTTGATGAGAAGTTGAAATATTGTTCTGGTAAATTGGGATATCATGTAAATTCATTGGGTTTCTTTGGATCATTTGTTTAAATACAACTGTACTTACTTGGCAGAGAACAAACGCATTGAATACAACAGTATTCTTCACCATGTTAGCATGTTCTCTCTGGCTAGTGTCCAAGTTGAGAACTTTTATGCCGGCAAAGTTGAGAACAAGGAGGACTGCAATTTGGTATACAGCCTGAAAAGTATGAAATACAATAATGAACTACATATACAATTCTCAAAAGAAAGGTCAAATTTTAGATTAAAAGGTAAAGGACCTGTATAATCAAGTTCCTCCACATGATATTGGTTACAAGCGGCTCCCTGAAAGATTAAGAGCAGTTAAGTAACAAGTCATTATCACAATATAAATATGACATAACCTTCAAGTTTAGCCTGAAGTTTGATATACACTGGCCAAGATGATATGCGACATGGACCTCATTGTCTCATGTTACATGCCACTGTATAATTAAGGTATAATAATCTATTTGACAAATGCAACTGCTAATCCAACCTGCGACCAACAGGAGTTCTATCCATTAGATGATCAGTTGGTGGTTCGGTAGCCAATGCCAATGCTCCCAGAGTATCCATGATGAGATTAACCCAGAGAAGCTGCATTGAAAAAAAAAAAAAAANTGAAAAAAAAAAAAAAAATGGACGAATCATTGGCGTATACTGTAAGTTAATATTTTCAATATTTCAAAACATACACTGTTAAAATGTGTGCATTTCCTCGACAAGTTTTATATTCTAGTTAGCTGTACCACTCTTCTCGGTTTGCAAGTTATGAAATCATTGAATTCACGATAATGTGCCTGGAGAGAGTGAGAGAAAAGGCACCTGCACAGTATTTAGAGGAACATCACCCGAAGACACTGCAGCAACTACATTGATCACAAGAGCTGCAACATTAACAGTGAGTTGGAACTGGATAAATTTCTGTATATTTGCATATACAGAACGTCCCCAGCGAACAACCTTCAAGAAGTGAAAAAGGAGAACATATTATCACAGGAAGAACTAATAGGAACAGTTCAACTATTTTAGAGTGCATATGTTATAGGGTTTTGACATTTTTCTGATGAACAAATATATCCCTCAACCCTAACCTTCACAACTGAAGCAAAATTGTCATCCAAGATAATGATGTCTGAGCTCTCTTTTGCAACTTCAGTTCCTTGTATGCCCATAGAAAGACCTATATCAGCCTACCAGTAGAGAAGACAATTTAGTTATATTTATGTGAAAGACTCATTCACACATAATATTGTGCATGACAAATTATTTTCAAGTTTCACCTGAATTACTACAAATTCTACTCGTCATCCAAAAGACAGATGATCAAATGATACTATTTATACGAAAAGCGTGTACTATACAGAATTATCAAAATTAGTTAACATGTGAATCTCATGAAGAATATAAGTGCAAAGACCAAGGAAATGCAGATGAAGTCTATTTCTTGTGGGTGGAAGGTGATTTGTGCCTTAGAAATGTAATGCGAGGACATAAAACCTCATGCAATGCAGGAGCATCATTGGTTCCATCTCCAGTCACAGCCACAACTTCCCCTTGTTTACGCAATGTTTGGACAAGCAGAAGTTTGTCAGTTGGAGAAGACCTTCCCATAACCTTTGCAAGATAAACAGAAGGCGTATAAATAGTTATGATCATATGTAGCTTGGTTTTAAGGACGGAAAGGAAAATTCCTTGCTAGACATACTGAAATCTTCTGTGCAACTTGTTCTCTCTCTTTGTCAGACAATTCACGGAACTTCTTCCCTTCTATAACATAGGGTTCACTTGTATCAGAATCAGGAGAAAGGATACCACACTCAGTCGCAATTGCTTTGGCTGTCTGAATATTGTCACCAGTTACCATTCGCACCTGGTGGTGGCATACACAGAGCAACCAGTCATCAGATTCTCTTTCATCTATTTAATAATGATTTTAGCAGAACATGTGCTTGATCACGTATTGAAGTGAAAATTCAGCAATGCTTTCTAAAAATAAAATGACATGACCAAATGACAGAGCTATAGTTTAAGCAAAAGCTATCTGCACAAACGTAAGTAATGCCTAACAAACTAGTTCTATAAAAACCAAGTTAGAAACTTATGATGAAGCACAAAACACAACAAAATTCAGAAAAGAGCTCAGGGAAGATCCATGGAACAAGTTCTATTTCCCTTTGAAAACATGATATTTTAGCTAAGAGACGATAGGACCAATGTATTTCAAATTCCAAACACACTTTGCATATCATGCTTTGTTTTCCAAACAATTGCATCTTCTGTTCACCAAAATCAAACATCAAATGAACTAAAGATGCTCTTTGAGTGCAAGCTTTTTGAAATATGAACAAAGTACCTTAACACCTGCATGCTTGCACAGTTCAACTGCTTCTCTGACACCTGGACGACAAGGATCCTGCAAACAGAATATGGTTCATATACAGGAAATCTTTAAAAATATGAATAATTAGAAATAGTGCACGACAACTACTACTACCGGTGATGCAAGTGAAAGCTATAACATATGGAACCATAGAGACAGAATAATTTACTTATAATAGTATTCCTTAAAAAATTCAGCACATGGATGTGTTTGAAAAAAAAAAAAAGAAATAAGAATTCAAATTATTACTCGATGAGTTCACCACCTTTATACCAACAATTGCCAGCAAAATCAAATTGTTATCTGGTACGTTCCACTGTGCCAGCTCTTCTTGATCAGTAGGAACCTCGTCAGCTTCACAAGTTCTGTAAGCAATGGCAACACACCTCAAGCTTCTTGTAGCCATACTATCGATAGCATCTGTAAGGAAACCCTGCAATGAAAAGTGGGTTACAACTTAAGAAGTATTTATATGGACACAGGTTATGCGCCATCAGATATTTCTGTTACGCAAAAGTTTTGATGAAATGCCAACCTTTTGCTCTTCTATGGACTGCAAGGAGCCATCTACATCAATGTACTGTGAACATGACGCAAGAATTATTTCAGCTGCTCCCTTCCAATGTGCATGGACTTTAGATCCAGTCTGCAATATTTGAAAAAAATCTGAAATTAGAAAGTCGAATGCTAGTTTAATTAGACTGAAATTTCATAGTTTTCAGACATCATATCAACGTCAGAAGGATTTTAAAGAATATTAATTGATGTAAATCATTTACCCTGCCTCTTAATGCAACACCCCCTCGCTTTTTGGTAGAATTAAAAGGAGAGACATGGAGAACAATGGATTCTGCTTTCACGACATCGAATTTCATTCCCAACTGTAAAGTTTAATTTATGAAGATGATTAATACCCGAACTAGTGAAAGATGGAGAATGGACGATAGTGAACAGCAAGAAAGTACCTTGACAGCCCATTGAAGAATGGCTTTTTCAGTTGGAGATCCAGAAACCTCCAGTACGCCATCCTATTTTTTTATTTTTTTTTTCAGAAAAAGGAAGACACAAAGAAAAGGCCAAAAAGAAAAGCGAAGGTCAGTGTATAATACAACAAGCAGGGACACATGATTCTAAAGACAACCACACTTCATCCTTTCTGAGAGTGCAAATTGCAGCTAAATCGAGAGAAAGTAACTTGGGAATTGCAAATGGATCCATTATCAATTTTTATATGAAGAACTATACTGAAAAACTCTGAGAATTTACTTCCTTTATAAGACAACAAAAATCCATTGAAGTGGCTTATAACCTGCCGTCCGGTTTGGACAAGTGTTGGCACACACTACCACAAAAGTACCTTTGATAAAAATACGCTGCCAGCAGTGTTCTGTGCTACTCCCTCATCTAGCAGAGAGGAAACTGTTGCATGCAACTTCGATACATCTTCAGGAGGATCAAGCTTCGTTTTCCCAACATAAGCCTCAACTACAGTCATCTGTGCCAATATGCCATTTTTT